GGCTGGAGTTAGAACCAGCGCTGTTATACACCCCAAATGTGTGTTATACACCCCAAGTGTGTGTTACTCACCCCAAGTGTATGTTACACACCCCAAGTGTGTGTTATACGAAAGAGGTGATGACTAATGGTCACTAAATTGATATGCTGTTCTTTCCTACTACAGCACACAATTCCCTCTCTGCTGCTGCTGGGAAGCCCGACATCTGAGATTGTGCTTGAAGGCTTATCCACACCTCTCCCGTTCCACATGCCTCTTCCTCAAAGGAAGCCTAGAAGCGGAGAAGAGTGTAAGACACTAGAGCTCAAGAACAAGCGGCCAAACAGAAAATGTTTTCCAGTTGTTTGGAGGGAAGCTCATGCCTTTCACCCAGGCAGTGGCTTTACACAGAACCTTCTGAGCCAGCACACGAACCTTGTACAAGACCATGAACGTGTGAACTTCTCTCCACCAGGGTGTGCGGCAGCTTTCCTAACACATTGGAGGAGCCCCAACTGGTGGCAAACACATAGGAAATCGGTACTGGGTTCACTGAATCACAAGGGTATCCAAACAAGCTAGAGAGCTTTCATTTCTAAACAAACAGCAGAACAGAAACGAATTCTGGGATCAAAGTACAGATGGTTAGTCCAGTGGCATGCTCAGTGTTAGTCACCAAAACAGCCCTGGCTAAAGGGAGGAGAGCAAAGTCACGATGTGCCCTTTCAAAAAGAAAACATTCACTACAGTGTTTCAAAACCTAAGTGTTTCAAAACTGGGTATAATGACATCTAGGTCAGAAAGTGTGGTGCAAGAGGGTGGGGCAAAGGTGCCAGCCATGTAAATGGAAAGAGCCTGTAAAGAGAACATCATACAGATAAACTCAAAGCAGGTCTCTAGGGGGAAAAAAAAAATCATAGCTTCAAAAGAGCCATAGCAAGGTTTTTCAGATTAAACAAACCTGTTCCTGTGGGAACAAGGACAGTCTCCAGAGCTGCTGCAAGGTTATCATGAATGTCTACGGCAACCGAGAACAGTGTCTCAATATTTACTCCCATCCCACACGAGTCCGAGGGACTGCTGTTTCAGCCTCGTGTTTCACACCCCGGGCTGCATTTTCCCCGAGACGAGGTGTCACACTACAACTCCTAGAGAGAGGACAGAGTGCTAGCTTCTCGACTGGCTCCAGTGTTCCGTGTGACACAGAGGCCAGGGCACACGAGAGAAACGGCACGAAGGAAGGGATGACCACAAAGCAGCCGTGAAAGCACCTGCTCAGCTTCCTGGAATGCCACGGATTTTCAAATACCTGAGTTAATAGTATGAAGGTGACTTTCAAAAGACAAAGCAATGTATGCACACACATGATCTGAACACACATTAATGGAACAGTAGTGTTTATGATGCAAATGTTAGACGCTATGGGCCAGACGCTGTGCGTTCAGTCTGCAGATATAAATGAGACATCCAAGGTCTGTCCAGAGGTATCCAGCCATGTAATATGAAAAATAGAGACATTTTTTAAAGAAGATACATATACAAGAAACATTGTACACAGGACAATGATGCCTCAGTCCCGTTCAAAGTAGGCACCTTGGGACCTCACACAGTTCTCCCAATCGCCATCAGTTGCTCTGTCTTATTTTCCTGAATCTCATCAATGGTATGAAATCTCTTCTCTTTCAAAGGTCATTTTAGTTTTGGGAAAAGCCAGAAGTCTCAGGGTGCCAAATCTGGGCTGTAATGGGGCTGAGTCACCTGGGTGATTTGATGTTTTGCCAAAAAAACTGCACAAGGCATCATGCATGAGGGGGTGTATTGTGGTGATGAAGCTACCCACAGCTGCAGCCTTCTGCAGATTCACTGCTCTACTTGCTTGCTCAATCATTTTGAATGCAGTGGCCACACAGTACACATGCTCACTCAGCAGCATCTACCTCCTGCACTGATTAATACACTGAAGTCGTCATTGTCCACACATGCGCATTCCAGTCCATTCTCCTTGGCTGCCAGGTTCCATCAATGTTGTGCAAACCATTCTCAGTATATTAACAATGCCTGGACTTTTCCCAGACAGACCTTGTAGTCCCTGTCTTCTTAGAATTTACAGCCTCGAGAAAAGCCTTTAAAAAATGCAGTCATGCCCAGCTGGTGTGGCTCAGTGGTTGGAGCATTGTCCCTGTAACCCAAGGGTGTGAGGTTTTAATTACTGGTGGGAACATATGACTAAGTTGGGGGTTCAACCCCATCCCATCCCAGCATAGATCCCTAGTCTGGGTTCATAGAAAGGTAACCAATCGATGCTTCTCTCTCCCTTCCTCTCTCTCTCTCTCTCTCTCAAAAAATCGTATGAAAATGTCCTCAGGTGAGTAATAAAATTAAAAAAAAAAAATGCAGCCACTATTATCACTTTTCTACCAATGGAGGGCCTCTACTCCACCTTCCCAGGGAACTGAATGTAAGCACAGGAGGCCTGTATGAACAACCTAAGATGCTAATCAATGGCACTGCAGTATGTCCACATACGAAGTGTACAATGTGGAAGACTGTGCGTGAGACATAAGAATATATCTTGGCCCATCCTGCTGTGATCATATCCCTTAAAGCTGTTCCTTAGGGTAAAGCCAGGGCCCTCCCCAGCCCTCCACTCCTTGCCTCCACAGGTGTCCACTGCTGCAAAGCAGTTCAGAACGACGGTCCCCCCCAGCAAGGCCACCTCTGCATGGGCTCAACCCAGAGGACTCCCTGATAACATTTGACAATTAGAGGGCCCAACCGGCTACTCAACTCTGAACAACCATCAGTCTAACAGCATCATAAAAGCTTACATTGTACCATTATTTAAAATACTGAAAAACTAAAACCCAAATGTCCAACAACTGGGCAGGAGCTAAGTACTGACATATTCAAACAATATACAAACAGAGCATAATAAATGTATTTAGGTGTTTTTAATGTCATGAAAAATGCTTATGATAAATACTAAGCAAAATAATTATTTTTTAAGAGTTTATTTATTTTTAGAGAGGATGAGAAGGGAGGGAGAGAGAGAGGGAAAGAAACATCAATGTGTGGTTGCCTCTGGCACACCCCCAACTGGGGACCTGGCCCACAACTCAGGCATGTGCCCTGACTGAGAACTGAACCTGCAACCTTTTGGTTCACAGGCCAGCACTCAATCTACTGAGCCAAACCAGCCAGGGCCATTAAGCAAATAATTATATAAAATTATTATGGTATAAGCTTAAGTAAAAATGGATGAAATGGAATATGGACAATATCTTGTACATCATTATATTTCATTCCCCTCCATGATTGTTATCACAAATATGAGTAACTTTCATAATCAGAAAAATAAAGTTTGTGCTTTGTAAAGAAACTACATTTAATGATGTTTAGCTAATAAGTATAAGGATTCTTCTACCTCACCCCTACCCTCCACCACCAAAAACCCCACAAGACAAAAAATAACTGCTCTGGGAGTCTGTTCCCATGGTAACAATTCTCTTCTCCCCGCCCCTTGCAAATACATAAGACATCTAATGACACTGAGCCCTATTTTTATTCTGCCTACAATATGGACCCTCGATTTGTTTTGAGTCACTTCTGTCATACCGCTTCTGTCATAGAGTAGGCTTAAAACCAAGCCAGAACGCTCAGAGGAGCTCCTCTGGAGTCTTCCTGATTCCAGAGCTGCCTTTAATGATGCCTTCTCTCACATATATGCTGGGCACGATATTATAGTCACTCTAAGAAAGACCTTTTCCCAAAATTCTCCCCGGTCAGAAACAGTCTCTCTAACCAAACTCCTCGTGCCTACCTTCAGAGAGACAAAGTGCCCAGTGCCAATCAGCTATTCTTTCAGTAAAAATGCTTTCAACATAGCAGAACAGCCTGAATCTTTTCTTTCTTTTGCAAATCAGCTGTCACACTTAAATTGGTTTCCATTAGCCGTGCTGTTTACAGCTATTTGAACAAAAGCATCATGGTAAGAACAGGGAGTTCCCTTTTTACTTCTCATTGGAGGGCATGCGTTAGTTATAACACTAGTGGTAAAGGATCAACAAGAAAAAGACACCAGCACCCCTTCCTCCTTGAGTTTTATGCTGCAGCAAAAGATGTTCCCAGCTCACAGAGAAAACTCTGTAGGAAGTTATTTTTCAAAGGTACAGAACAAGAACAACCATCTAAATAATATTAAAATGATTTTTAACTCAGGGCTGGGAGCCCTGGAGAATTTATTTCTAAATCCACACACTGTGGACTTCCACTAAGACAAGAAAAGAGGAAGAAGGTAAACAACAACATGTATTTCGTGCACGCTGCAGGAAGCAACGCTGCAGGATTAACATGTAAACCCACATCTGGGCATGTAAGCTCTCTGGTTGGGGAATGGTGGTCTTTCCATCACTAGCAACTGCTGCAAAAGACTGCATGGCTGTTTGCAAAAAAGAAAAGGTATTCTAGTCTCTCAAACCCCTGTGCTGGAAGAATAGGTTTATCAGCTACAGCTGAGAGTAGGTCTCTCTTCCTCCTATATTTGCTCTACTATTTTCAACACATCATAAAATGAGAATGTTGCACATTTGTTTTTTGGTTAAGGAGAAATGACATAAAGCCCGAGGAATCCAGTCCTCACTGTTTTGGATTAAGAAATCTCTTTCTTGAAAGTTTTGATTTGAAGTAAAAAAAAAAATCAATATGGCATCCTTCAAGTGGCTTCTGAAATCCAGTACTTGCTCAGAAACCATATTCTATATGCATTTAAAAGCAAACAAAATACCCATAGGAAATATACAAATAGGAGTGGGGAAAAGGGCTACATTCAACAAAAATGGTCAGAAAACTATTTAACATTACTTGAAAATGAAAAAAACTCAGCAACAATAAAATCCTATTACAACCCGGTGACATGTTATTTACAAAGGTGGGACTCCAGGGTGAGTTTCAGCCACACACGAGGGGAGACGGGGGTCAGGGGAATGCTGGACAAACTAAGACAACTGCCAGGGCAACCTTACGCTGATGGGTGGCCACAGCTGAAGGCAGATTTGACTCATCTCTGGGGCTTTCCACTGGGGAGGGAGCTGCGGTGCAGCCGTCAATGGACCAGCATCCACAAAGCCTGTGGGGAGATACAGGATCCAGAAGAGTGGGGTAGGGAAGGAGAAAGTTTGGAAAACCGAAGAGTCAAATACAGTAGCAAAACAGTGTACTCACTAAACCTCTTACGTTGAAACAAAGTGGCTGAAAAAAACTGCGATTCTGGAAAGCAGTCTGACACGCTTTTTATATTACACTTTAATTACTAGTAGAATTATAGTAATGCTTCTTAAGAGGAAATTAATTTTTGGAGAAAAGAGAAAAACTATGAAACCAATGCAATTTTCACTCAAACAACGAGGGCCCCTTATCTGTGGCCTCTGTGGAAAATAGCCTAAAAGCAAATGTACTCACACTCCACTGGAAACCTCTGCTGGTGGCCTACTTCCACCAATTCCATTAACGTAGCAGGGGCCCAAAGGCAGGTGACCTGGTTGACAAAAAAAGTACTTCTAGAATGCGCTGAACTTTTTTCACGGAACTCATTAAACACTTTATAATCAAGAGGAAAAAACAGTAAAAATAATTTGGGAAGTTTTGCCTTTAATTGGAACAGCAGAAACTTTCTTTATGAGGTAAAAGACTTTTCAGGTCCTGTAGAGAAGGAAGTATGGATAAATCCAGTAATCTTACCTCCCTCCGCAAGTCCATCTGAAGACGTGGGTGGGGCGGGGGCGGAGACAGACAAACCTACAAGACCAGTTAAAATATGTGGCACAAGGAAAATCAGCTCCACTGCAATTACCTTAATTATCAAAGAAAGACTAATGTGCACGTGTTACTGACTCAAGTCTTTCAGTTTGTAGATGGGACAAACTCAATGCACATACATCCTGCTAAGGCTTCCCAGAACTGACAGAGTGGGAACTTATTTTCTGAGTAACCAAACAATAAATCATGCCTGGCAGCGACCAACGGTCAGATCAGATTCAACAGAAGCCAATCTCTGTAGTCATGCACCCTAATTATATAGGCAATGACAGAGTCCTTACATCACTTCCTGAGAGTAATTATCGTTTTGGCAACAGCTATGATCCTTTAGAAGCACACAAGGTTGTATCTACCTTCTTACCTCTTGTCCAAAATAACTCAACTATTTACTATAAGAAGAAACAATACATCTTGGAGATTCCTTTTTTTTTAAGAGTTTATTTATTTAGTTTTAGAGAGAGAAGACGGGAAGGAGAAAGAGAGGGAGAGAAACATCAATATGTGGTTGCCGCTCACGTGCCCCCTGCTGGAGACCTGGCCTGCAACCCAGGCATGTGCCCTGAACTGGGAATCAAACCTCGACCCTTTGGTTCACAGGCCCACGCTCAATCCACTGAGCTACACCAGTCAGGGCCTTGCAGATTCTTTTTTAAGTGCTTTTGCTTGTTTCCACTCGGATCATACCCTTGCTCCACTCTATCACAGGGAACGGCACCTCCCTTGCCAACCAATTTCTGGGTAAGTTCCATCAGTGGCTGGTACTGATAAGGATGAGAAACAGGAGGCCCGGGGAAGCCAGGTAACGCCCTCCCCCTTACTTGATCTGAGTTCCAGCTGCCACCAGACAGCTCTTCTTTCCACGCTTCTAGCTCCCACCAGATGGCTCAGGCTTCTGGCCTTTGGTGCACCAGCACCTTCTAATTTCCTTGGGGTGCAGTAGCTCCCAGGTGTTGCTAATCTCTGGGCGGCCGCATCAGCCCATTTACCTTCTCAGCTCTTATATCATCTGTGTAACTTACTCCATATATTAAATTCCCCTAGCTTGTACCATCTATACAGGTTTCTGTTTCCCTGATGGGTCGCTGACTTTCAAAAATATTTTAAAACTTAGTTTTCCTGAAAATCAAACATTCATATAATCTATAAAAGATTTCTTCTAAGAAACCAAGGATTTATGGATGACAAAAATCAAGCCATTTGTTCAAATATTTACTGAGAACCTGGTCCATGCCGAGCACGGTTCTAGGTGCCAAGAACACTGAGGCGAACAGAACAGGCACCAAGGCCCCGCCCTCAGGGAGCTTCCGTTCTAGTGGCCATGTTAACTGTGGCTAATTACAATTTTAGAAAATGAACGTGTATAGGAATATGTCATTAACAATAGAGAGATTTGGCACAAGTGAATTCACTTTAAGGTGTTCTACTCTGCATAGACTTGATCCTACCTTTTCAATGGGGTAGCTGAACTGTCACATTCCAGAGGCCAAACAGAACTTCTTCAAAGTTAGAATCTACTTAGACTGGCCACTTGTGCTCAAACAGAAGTGCAACTGTGATAAGGGTATAAGCAGACACAATAACACAAGTCAGGCATTGAATATGCTTAGAATATAAAACGTAAGTGTCTTTTATGCAGATTCCTGCTTGGCATCTTTTTCACGGGGGAGATCATATGAAGGAATTGAGTCTGAGGCTGTTTCATAAGTCATTTTGTCCCTTGTCTATGGCACAGGTACGTTCCGTCAACATAACATATTGGACAGGCCAGCTGCAATGTACATAATGAGTAAAGTGTTGCAGCTACAAATTGCATGACATTATTTCCAAGATGGAATTTGCAGGCAAAGGAATAAAAACAGACAATGACTCATGTGGTGAACAGTTATATAGACAACTGTGCCCAAGAAAGCTGCCACCTACGTACCACAATGACATCAGATGAAAAATGCAGAAAGTGGTTTTCTGATTTGTTTGAAAGCAATAGATTTGCTGAAAAGTGTACTGAGAGATCAGACTGCACTGCCTGTTCCACGTCCTGAGCGCTGAGTGACCCCGAGCACACATCTAATGTCCAGCACCCTTAGACTGCTTGAGTATAAAAGCATGTTTAGCCTCAAAAACCAACATCACCAACTCCAGAAATGACATAATACATATTGCTGTCATTTCACTAGACTTCTCTGACATAATTTAATGTATTCGTGAAAGTGCACTTCCATGGAGATCTTGTGGGCATGGTACCCTGACCTCTCTTATGACCCAGCAATTAGAAAATGCCTCTACAATACTCATGCTTCCATCTGAGTAGCAGGTAGGCTTCCAGTAGTATGGGCATCTAAAGCATATTCATAATCTCAGTCTGCAGAGCAAATCAGCTATAGAGGTAGGACTTTAACCTTATTGGCCCCAGCCTACCTTATCCCTTGCCACTCCCCAAACGTGTAGTCAAAATACACTAAAGATCCCCCTAACCCACATACACAGGACACAGCACACCCAGCAGCCTTCACACACTGTTTCTTCTGCCCAGAATGCGAAGTCCCCTAAAGCCACATGGCAAAGTCAGGCTCATCGTTCAAGACACAGCCTACACGTCTCTTTGAAGCCACGACTTCCTGAGGCCAGCTTGTTTGCTCTCTGCAGTGCTTCCGTTTCTCCCTGTCCACAGTGCCGTAATGCTAATGACAACATTGCCTCATTCATGTGTTTACACCTCTGCTTCCTCATGAGACTGTAGAGTCCTCGAAACCAAAGACCCTAGCTTTTAATCTACATATCCTGGCCCAGTGTCTGACACAAGTGGGTGCTTTAGAAATAATTTCTGAATGAACATATGTAGTGTGGGACTGCAGGCTTGCAAAGAGTTCCCCCTAAAAGTCATGGCATTTTGTCATCTCTGTCCCACTGCCACAGGATATTTCAAGTACAAGGAGAACAAATAGGAAAGTATCTCCCAGGGAACAGGTTTAACACATTGATATTAAAAGACAACCTAATAGGGAATTGGACAAGTTACTTTCAGTAAAACTGTGTCAAGCCAACCAAAACTGTCAGAATTCAATTGTATTAGCTGTAAAACCCCAGAAAGCTATTTGATCCTGGCTGGAGAAGGCTGTTGGACTAAAGGTGGAAGCAAAACTCTTTCTGTTGTCTAGATTGGATGGGATTTTTTTAGCCTCTCAAAAGGTGCCATAGATACAGCTAAAATAATTAAAAATTGATAGGAAAGTTTATGTTCTAAGGAATGATGTTTAACAAGGAATGATTTAGCTACCAACAGAAAACAAATGTAAAGCCAAGCTAGATCAATTTACCGGAACTAACTAGGACTACTATTAGAAAATTAGGACTACTATTAGGAAATCCCAACACAAAGATTAGTTAATTAGGACTACTATTAGGAAATCCCAACACAAAGATTCCCTGGTCCAATCTTTCATACAAGTGTGAAAGAGTCAGGAAGCACCTGGAGGCCATCCTCAAGGGTTCATGCATGAAGCACAAGGGCAAAAACGCCAACACCCCCACATGTAGGAAATGGTTTGGCTTAAGGACTGGGGAATTATTGGGTGAGTCATCATAACTGTGGCTTCCAGGAATTAGAGTGTTTAAGGGTATAAAGTCAGAGAGGGAAATGAATAAAATCAAGATAAAATAAATACGATCAGCAATGTTAATAATAAATAATGCTTACATCTGTGTAACACTTTTATTTACAAAGCACTTTTATTTTCAAAGGAGGAAACTTAAACTGACAAGGTTCGTTGGTGTGCTGAAGGTCACAAAGCTAAAATAAGCAGAGTAAAGGAGTTTAAATGGCTATTTCGACATCAAGTCTACAGCTCCTTCCATTCCTCTGCTTCTTTGCCTCTTGAAAGGTGGGCTTCTAGTGCTATGGATGGGCCTGGGACATATTCTAAGATGCCTTTAATGAGATCAGATGTCTCCAAATCACTTCAGCATGTCGTTCAACTTAAACAAGTAGCCCAGGCATAGCCTTAGAAAATTCAAGGGAAAGAATGAAGAAGCCCCTCGATGTTGCAAATCTTCAGGTTATCCGTGTTATACTATTAATTGAAAAATGCCAGGTGCCATGAAGGGTGGATTACACCCACTGTTTGCACAAAAGCACTGCATAGGACTATATTTAAATGCAGTTGCTGGTCTATGCATAGATTATCTCCTAAAAGACACATAAGAAATTACCTGTAGTGGTTACTTCCAGGAAGGGAAAAGGGTGGCGAGGGAATCGGGGCAAGAGCACAACTTTCCACAGTACACATTCCCTTTTAAACCTTTGGGATTTTGAGCCCCGGCTGGTGTGGCTCAGTGGATTGAGTACCAGCCAGTGAACCAAAGGGTCACCGGTTCGATTCCCAGTCAGGGCACATGCCTGGGTTGCAGGGCAGGTCCCCAGTAGGAGACTCATGAGAGGTAACCACACATTGATGTTTCTCTCCCTCTCTGTCTCCCTCCCTTCCCCTCTTTCTAAAAATAAATAAATAAAATCTTAAAAAAAAACCTTTGGAATTTTGAACCATGTGCAAGTGCTACCTTTTTCAAATGGTAAATTGAAATTTAAGAATATAGAATGGGAATTAAAACAGAGGCAATGGTTAGGTGATCCTAGGTGACACATTTCAGAGACAGGAAGTAGCAGAAGAGAAAAGTAAAAAAGTATTACAAAGTTTCTGTCAGACTCCAGAATTCCATGTGGTATTTCAAAGTCTGAAGTAAATATTCCTCAAGACCATCGCTTTTTTTTTTCATTTTAATTCTTTCTTTTCCTCCCACTTTTTTCTTTTTAAAAATCTTTTTTGTTTTTTTTCTCTTTTACTTTCTTTTCTTTCATTTTAATTCTTTGCTCATTACACAGCTCTCAATTTTTTTTACGAACCTTGATACTGAGAAAGGAGTGTCCCAACAGTGGACACAAGTATTCAGGTCATCAGAAAGGTAGATCCTTCGGTGGTAAATAAGATAGTGTCTAGTTTAAACCTGTCACTAAGGAGGTTGATAAGGAGTTATTTCAGGCACACTGGTAAAATGCGGAACTGCAGAGCTAAAGACTAAACCTTGGACCCGTAAGACGCCACCAAGGGTCTATCATAAAACAGGACCCAGCCTCACCTAGATAGAGTCACCATGGACACACCTGGGATTTTCAGTATGTTTGTCCTATCACTTCTACTACTTAAGTCAGTCTAAAAATTTACCCTAAAGGTCACAATAACTTGAAGATTTGGGACGGTGAGGAAACCACATCTTTGGGCCTACAGCGAGCCATAGAATTTTTTGTTTAAGGCAGGGCCAAATCAGCTTCCTTTCCCACATAGTGATCGCTTCTGTGCCTTAGAGATCCCAGAAACTGGTGGGTCTTGTGTTCAAGGGAATTTTTAAAAATCCAGGACCAACAAAACTTGTACTACATAAAGAGAACACATTCTTGTTCTCTATTCTAATGTTTAAATTATGAATTTAAGCCCTGGCTGGTATGGCTCAGTGGACTGAGTGCCGGCCTACAAACTAAAGGGTCACTGGTTCAATTCCCAGTCAGGGCACATGCCTGGGTTGTGGGCCAGGTCCACAGTTGGGGCACGCGAAAGGCAACCACACATTGATGTTTTTCTCCCTTTCTTTCTCCCTCCCTTTCTCCCTCCCTCCCCCTCTGTCTAAAGATAAATAAATAAAATCTTTAAAAGTATATATAATAAATAAATAAATTATGTATTTAAAGATAATAACATCCTGCCCTGGCTGGTATAGCTCAGGGGACTGAGCACAGGCCTGCGAAGCAAAGGGTCACCAGTTCAATTCCCAGTCAGGGCACATGCCTGGGTTTTGGGCCAGGTCCCCAGTAGGCAACAGGCAACCTCTCCCTCTCCTTCTTCTCTCTCTAAAAATAAATAAATAAAATCTTAAAAAAAAAAAGAAAGAAAGAAAGAAAGAAAGACAAGTGACAAAATGGGAAGATATTAAAAAAAAGATAATAATATTCTGCCCTGGTCAGGTAGCTCAGTTGGTTAGAGCGTCCTCCCTATACTCCAAGGTGTGAGGTCAGATCCCTAGTCAGGGCATGTAAAGGAATGAGCCAATGAATGCATAAATAAGTGGAACAACAAATCGAGGATTCTCTCTCCCTCTCCCTCCCTCTCTCTCTCTCCTTTCCTCTCTCTCTCTATACAATCAATAAAAAAATAAAGATAATAACATTCTTAAGTATAAGGTTTTAAAAAGAAGAGTCATAGCCAAAGAGTTATTTTCAGAACATTACCAAAATACCTGCTCATAGACCTGCAGTTCAGGGCTAAATCGTCTAATTCAATATTAATGGATTAGCAATTACTCACCAGGTCCTGTACAATTAGCTCTCAATTTTCTGAGTAAGAAAAGACATGAGACATAGAGACAAATAAACTCAAATCCAAGTCTCACTCTAGCCAACAGTTTTTAAAATCCTCCTCCCATTAAATATATTTTTTGCCACAGGTAACAGACAACTTAGTCTACTGATGTCTCTTCTCTCCATGGTCAGACAGCTGTTCACATGATATTATGACAGCCAATGTCAGGGAAAAAGAGGGGGCACACGAGTGAGAAGAGCTGAAAGAGTGGCAGGGGTCAGATAATCCACAAACTGGGTAAACTGAGGCCTCAACAAAAGCCTTCTTGCACTGAATTGAAAGATGATGACTGACATACTGTCATCTCAATTTTAATACAGTGGCCAGGTCACTGAAGCCACAAAGCTGAAACGTAAAACTAATTTATAAAAAGAAATTGTTTCAGGAACCAGGATTCTACCATCAACAGCAGTTAATAAGGTTTACAAGCCAGCAGTTGCGAGTTCTCATTAAGAATTAACTAATGTGCCCTGGCTAGTGTAGCTCAGTGGATTGAGCATGGGCCTTCAAACCAAATGACCCCTCATTCAATTCCCAGTCAGGGCACATGCCAGGGTGGCAGGCCAGGTCCCCAGTAGGGGGCATGCAAGAGGCAACCACACACTGATGTTTCTTTCCCCTCTTTCTCCATCGCTTCCTCCTCTCTAAAAGTAAATTCAAAAAAAAATTAACTAATGTTTCATTACCTGACACCCAATAACAGTATTGATAAAGAACAATGGAAAATTTAGAGGAAGAAGTGATTAATCAAACTCTCTCTCCCATATGCTGTATTTCATTGGAATATGAGTAAGTATAAGAGTGGTATGACAAATGGGAGCGTGGGGGTGGTACCAGTCATCAAAATGGCATCTAACTCCCCAATGGAGCATGCTCACTCCAGTGGGTTGCTTCACTGTGACTCAAGATCTGTCAACTGAGGACATAGGGAATTTGAGTAAAGCCAAGAGATACACTCCTAAATTTTAAAGAGAATCTTTCTGTAGATCTAGGACAAGATCTAGCAAGAGCCAACTTAAAGAAATTAACCTCCTCAACATAAACTGATTCTAAAGCACTTTGGAAAAGGAGTTCTTGCTAATGCAAAAATTCAGGAAAGAAGTCTGGGGGTCTGCTTTCCCAACGACACACTCCATCTGGTAGAGGGCCCTAAAATAGACTGCTGGGTGTCCAGTAGCATCGATGTATCATCCCCCGTACTCCTCACACAACCTTATTTTTCTAAAATAAAAGGTAATTAGTGGAAGCATCAATTATGCATATACTTCCTTTCTCAATATTGATAAGTACAAATACATTTGAATCCTCTTGTACACTATATGCCTAATACACTATATGACAAATCCACTGCATTATGAACAGAAGTAAACTAACAACAGCTCCCAAAATGTAACTACCTCTTTCTCCCCAACCAAAGAAAACAAAAAGTCCCAGTTCCTACAATATTCTAAATACTTCAGGTAGAAAATAAGGAAACTAAATATTTATAGACATCTGTATCTATAAATTACAAGTGCAAACATTTTACTAATAAGCACGTTTCCCTATCATACTGATTTTCATTGGATCAAATCATGAATCTTTAAGGGAACAGAAAACGTGGTTATGACTCTGCCAATTTATAATAATCATATTTCACCTTTAGAAGGGAATCGTCATGGAAGCAACAAATTCAATGCATCCTTTGCTCCCTTCTCTCCAGTGATTAAACGGATCCTACACTACACCACGGCCACAATCTGCTAGTTTCTGCCACCACACACACATTAGGCCCCTAACATACTCCACAAGCCAAGGCCAGGCTGTCTAGAAATCCGCACTGTGTCACTGCATAAGGCAGTTTCCCACTGCAAAGATCCAGGAAGAAAGCCACCTAGCCACTCTGTCAGATCTCACTCAGCAAGTCTGTAAAATGACAGAAGGAGCTGCTAACCAAAAGGCAAGCAGCAAAATCACCACCTTTAAAAATCATTTAAGCACTTTTCCTCCCCATCATCATCACCTTACTTTCCTTCTCTCCCTCCCTCCCTCTCTTTCCCTTTCTCCCTCTCCCTCTGACACATTCACACACTCACTGCAGTTCACCCCCAGCTTTGCAAGCGGAAGGCTGGGAGCTCTAGGCTGCCTCTGGAATGACAACTCAGAACACATTCAGAGCCCTGAAATACAGACACACTCACCTGCACACATCACGCCACTTCCACCCCCACCGTCAGCCCCCAACACACACACACACACACACACACACACACACTCGCCCTCACAACCTCTCTCCGCACCAATCCCGGCGCTGCAGAACACCTAGCAGGCTCAGCAGCAAGAGTAGCACGAGGTTGCCATCTAGGATGATTGGGGCGGCCTAAGCTCCAGAAACACCGTACCCACACAGACCACCTCCCAGGCGCGGCCCGGAGGCTGGAGGACCTCCCGCCCGTCAGGGGTGGGGGTGGGGAGGATGCGCTACCTTTGGACTGGCAGTCCGCACAAAACTTGTTATCTTCCTCCAGCAGTAGGTTGGCCAGGACCGCCTGGTACCGATCCACGTCCTTCACCGACTTGCCCGTCATGGCCAGGGTGCCGGCGGGGGCAGAGGGCGACGCGCCCTCCTCGCCCCCAGAAACCTTGCCCCGGTCTGTAGGTGAAGACTCCCGCTTCCCCGCCCAGGGGTACCTCCTGAGCGGGGCAGAGCCCTCTCCTCCGGCCCCGCGCCCCTTCTCCGGACAGCCGCGCCCGCCCCCCTCAGCAGCCCCTCAGCAGCCCCTCAGCGCGGCGCCCCCTGGCGGGCTTAGGGAAAGACTCGAGTCCAGAGAAAGCTGCCGGACCAGGGACCCTCGGCCCATGCAAAGGGTGGTCTCGGGCCTGCTGGGTGCCGGGCACAGAGACGACCACCCGGCTTCTCTGCCTGTCTGCGTGCGGTGCGTCCCGGGCCTCGGTTTCCCAGGCAGCTGCCGCCTGCTCCGCCACCACCCCTGCCTTCTACTTCCGGCAGCTCTTCCTCTCCACCTCCACCCAGCCCCAGCCCGCGCATGCGTCCCGCCCCCACCACTTCGTACTGGGCTCTTCCCTGGGCTCCGCCTCTCAGGAACCAATCCGGGCAGAAGTGAGGGGCGGGGCTTGGGGTGGGGCGGAGGGAGGAGAGCACGCCCCATGCATGCCCTTGGAAAAGAATGAATGGAGCCTGGTAGAAAGGGAGTGGAGGGAGGGAGAGAAAGTAAAGAAAAACAGCAATGAACTTTTACTGAGGTCTCACTATGTGCCAGGCACTGTGCTAATCTCTTTACATGAATTATTGTAATATAATCCTCAAATCATCTCTGAGAGTTAAATAATCATCCTTATGTAACCTGGAGGTTAAGGATACCCCAAAGACTTCTGGCTTATTCTCTCCTTCAGCAGTAAAATAAAACGGCCAAGCTTCTAACCCACGATAAGGAAATGTCATATCCTCCCCAAATTTTGAGAGGATTCTGACCAGCTCTCACTTGGAATGGCTGCTTCCACTGAATTCTGGGTCCCCCTGTTCATTTGCCTTCCCCTTGTGACTTACTACCATCTTTGGTTTGTGTGTTTTTTGCCTGGTGCTTAGATGTTTTCTTTTTTTCCATTCCTTAAATCCTCCCCAAGTAGTCCAGTTTTGTGCAGCAGACTTTTACTGCAGGTTATTTGGAGGGAATGATGTAGAGAGAAGGGGTGATTACAGCATACCACAGATTAGCAACTACCTAAAAACAATGATTAAACACAACTGCCCAAAGCCACCTTTGCTACAAAGAATTTCTCAATGACTGTTCTTTTCTTTAGGGATCCACCTGCCATCTGGCAAATGTATTCATTCACTCATTCGGCAAATTGTTACTGAGCAACTTCCAACTTAACTATCAGGCACTTTCTGGGGAAGAGAAAACAAAGTGATCCAATCCACAGTTTTAAAAACCTCACTGGCTATCAGGGGACGAATGGATGGGGAAGCTGATGAAAGCAGATCTCAGTTATCGGGCCTCTGGCGAAACCCTCTCCTCCATCTCTCCGCTTTCTCCCAAGACAAGGCTTCCCTCAAAACATTAATCTCATCAGAGGAAAATGAAAATTTCCTATTACTTTATTAATCAAAACAATTTAATCCTGTGTTGAAACCTCTTTTAGCTTTGCCTAAGAGGCTTGACTTTAATAAGCACAAAGTCCTTTAAGGTATTTTTCCTACAGAAAATCTCAGCCCTTTGTCTAGAAGGAATTCTGCCTTCCTTCTAAGCTAATTGTCTCAACCTGACATCAGTTTACAATCTATTTTCTTACTATGTAACCTATTTAACTTTTCTTACTTTAACACCGATTTTATAAATGAGGAAACTGAGACTTAGAACAATGGCCCCATCCAGGGAAGAGCAGAGCCGGAGTTTCTAACCCCGGTGTCTGCGATTCCAGCGATTTCAGCCTCACTGCTGTCAGAGTTCTGCTTGTGTTGTCCTTTCTAGTTCTCAGGAAAACCCATCAAGATAGGTCTGAGCATAACCATTTTTCAAGAAATGATGAAACAGAAGCTAAAGTTTACCCAGTTTATTGTAGTAATTGTGCCTCGGTTCACATCCTCTATTTCCTCTTTTCACTAGGCAAATAGCCTCCCTGTCTTAGTCTAGCCCTAGTTAAACTGATCCTTCACCTCACTCTTTGGAGAGAGTTCCTAAATGACAAATCGGATTGAATCACGCCCTCCAGCTTTAAATCCTTTAACGACTCTCCATCATCTGTGACAGCGCTTCTCACGTTTTCCCATGTAATGAAGTCTGCTGGTTTAAGCACACAGACTAAGGGACCAGATGACTGTGTTTAAATCCTTGCCTTCACGACTGTGTGACTTTGATCAGCTTGCTTCACCTCTCTGTGCCCCAGTTATTTCATCTATAAAACGGGGATTGTGATGATATTGATAATACCTATTTTATAAGACTGTTGTGAAGCTTAACTGAGACGACATCTGTAATATATTTAGAACAGCTCTGGGTGCATAGTGACTAATAGACAACAATTAATGCTCTTCACAAAATATGCCTGGCTGTCTGCCTTCTGGGAACTTGGTAGGATTTTATTTCCTGTCCCTCTTACCATTAGTTGAGTGTGGCTCATGAGTGTGAGGAGAAAGGATGCGTGTCACCTCACGCCTGCAGCATTTGTTCCCTGTCTTGAGACTCCTCTGATTCTTTTCCCCTCAGGCATGTCAAGCATCAACTGTTCAAGACGGTGACTGTCTTACTCAGTTCGAAATACCACAGACTGGGTGGCTTAAAAACAGCTGAAATGCACTTCTCACAGTTCTGGAGAGTGAGAACGCCAAGATGAAGCACTGACAGATTTCAGAATCTGGTGTGGAGAGGGAGAGGATATAGGACAAGACATCTGAATTCTCATCTTCTATGGGAATATGTGGATAAGCAAAGCTGAAATTTGTAAATTCCAGGAACAATAGGTAAAAGTTGAAAACAATCGCCTCAGAGGAGTAGGAATCAGAGTAAGTAGGTGTGGGGAGGGTATTAGCATTTGTCATTAGAAGCCTTGTATAACTAGATTTTTTAAACTATGTACATGTTTAACTTTGACTTTAAAAATTTTTTTTAATTAACCTAATATTTAAAAAACTCACAGTCACCCTGGCTGGTGTGGCTCAGTGGATTGAGCACTGGCCTGTGAACCAAAAGGTCGCCAGGTCCCTAGCTGGAGGCATCACATTGATGTTTCTCTCCATCTCTTTCTCCCTCCCTCCTCCTCTCTCTAAAAGTGAATAGATAAAATCTTTTAAAAAACCACATTCCTACTATGTCCACATCCATGAGACTCTAAGACATGTCGCAAAACATTTGCTGTTGAAACAGGTTTTACCCCATGCTAAGTTAGCCTCAGATGAACATCCTGCTAGATTTTTCTCCTCTTCTGTCCTCCCCACAAAGTCCACAAAGTTTGCTTGAAAACTAAACAAATAGGACTATATTTCTCTCATAGAACAAGAAATCCAGAGGCAGACCAGGTGTGTACATCAACTCAGCTGCCTGGCAAGGCCATCAGCACCTAGACTCCATCATTCTGCTTTGCCATCATAGCCTATTGCATTTTCATCCTCACGTTCAGTGGTTCTCCAAAGGTGGTCCTCAACCTGGCGCCATCAGCCTCGCCTGGGGACTTGGTAGCACTGCAAACTCTCAGGTGCGCTCCTGACCCAGGAATCAGAAACTCTGGGGACAGGGCCCAGCGGTCTGTGTTTGGAGGAGCCCTCTGGGTGATTCTGATGCATACACGAGTTTGAGAAGCATTGCACATGCTGTCACCTCATGGTCACAAACTGGTCACCACTGCTCTAAACACCACATCATCTTCAAAGGCAGGAAGAGGAGGAATAGAGTGCCCCCAATCTGACTGTTCCTTTTATCAGGAAAGCAGACATTTTCCCAGAAGCTCCCAGCAGACTTTCTCTTAAGACTCGTTGGCCAGAACCAGGCTGCATGGCTCAACCCCTAACTACAAAGGTATTCGGGGATAGCATGCATCCGCCCCTCGGAGTGAGAGGCGGCAACAGAGAAGGGGGCTGGGAATGGCTGCAGACAGCCCGAAGGCACATCCACCACAGGGTCCATGGTGGCCAGGGCCACAGGTAAATTATTCCTGACTCCATCCTTTAAAAGTAGCAGATGATCTTGACATTCATCTGCAAAAGTAATCTTACAATTTCCAAATTCTTCAGATGGCAGGATCTACAAGATAGAAATCTCACTCTCAAACGATTAAAAAAAAAGAGAAACCTCATTCTTATCCATATTATCTGCCTTTCATGGAATAGTAGTTCTGATCATAATCCACAAGCTAAAAGAATCCTTTCCTATTCAAAATGGGCAGGGCCAGAAACAAGGAAAAAGAGAAGACAAAACATTTCAAACTGGCTCAAAGAAGCACTATTTTTTACATTTTGACACAGGGATTCGACATTGTGACTGCTTTCATACCATTGACCAAACAACCTATCAGACAAAATGCTGGCTTTTGGTACACATCACAGAACAAAAGAAGTGCTTAAGTATGCCTCCTTAATAAAGTTAGTCAGTTTCCAGGCAGTTGAGGAGGGGGACATTCCAGGCAGAGATTAGTATGCATAAAATGCAGAAGTGAGAAAGGAGAACTGAAAATTGTCACGTGCGAGGAGCACTAGGAGAAGCTGCAGAAGGAGCGAAGGGCCAGATCACAAAGAGCTGTGTGTGCTGTCCTGAGGAGGTTGGACTCCACACTGTTCCTAACGTCGCTAACCTGGTCCGCAGATGGACTTTAGCACCTTGTCAACCCTCTGAAACTATCTGAAACTATCTGACAAAATTCGTGGCTGTGTGGGTCTGTGTACTTTCCTGAGCGGTGGGCCTTAGATTTGCAAAGGTGTGTGTAACCCAAACAAATTTAAGAATCACTTCTTTGAGGAGTCAAGGAATTCGTCGTTAAATGTTTTACTCATCACCGGAATAAATTCAACAATATTCTAGATCCAGGTTAACTAGGAAAAGACAGAGCTCAGAGGGAACCAGGTTTCATTTTCCTGCCTGGAGCCCTTTCCCGTGCCGTCTCTGCAGTGGGCAGTCTCCCTCCAGCAGGCCCGAGGGAGAAGTGGCGATCCTGCCGTGTGTGTGTGTGTGTGTGTGTGTGTGTGTGTGTGTGTGTGTGTGTGAGAGAGAGAGAGAGAGAGAGAGAGAGAGAGAGAGAAACACTCGCCTGCCACAGAGCTGCTCCTCCCTCCAAAAACCTCAGTCCCTGCTCTCTGTCACTACTCCCAAATGATGACAAAGGAAGGGATGGTTCCTCTGTGAAGAGAGGCCCACCAGGTTTCCGTCACAGCTGGGTCGCTTCCCAATGGCACTCCTCCAGGAAGACACCGGAAAATGGGACAGGAGAGTGTCACATTAAAAGTCTAAATTTTAAGCAGATTCTTGGACCAGGGATTCATATCCTTCAGCTTGTTCACCTTTAGCGCCTGTCTCATCCCCAGTTGCTTTTCCAGAACCGCCTCCTTCGCCATGAAGCTCCATGAGTTGTCCCAGTTCAACATGGGGTTTTTCAGCTTTTCGACTTTTCTAACAAAGACATCATGGAGAGAATAAGGAGCTTGGCCAGCCTTTTCTATGGCTTTTCCAGTGCTATCTGGAATCAATTTACTGACCCCTTCTTTCAAGTCATTTGCCTCTACACCTCTCGGGTTATGAGTTCCATCACCTTCTTCTGGATTTGGTGGACCTGTGGATGCTGAGTACAAGAGGTTTTCCAATTCTGATTGTTGTTGTTATTGTTTTAGTAAAACCAATGCAGAATAGACGAAGCAAATAACCATCAGTATTCTTGACATCAACATGAGCTTCAGGCCCAGTGTGCCACTGTTTTTTAAGATTTTATTTATTTATTCTTTTTAGGAGGAAGGGAGGGAGGAAGAGAGGGAGAGAAATATCAATCAGTTGCCTCTCGCACACCCCCAACTGGGGACTTGACCCCCAACCCAGGCATGTGCCCTGACTGGGAATCGAACCGGTGACCTTTCAGTTCATAGGACTGTGCTCAATCCACTGAGCCACACCAGCTAGGCCATGGTCTACCATTTTTCGACCACAGAGAACATTTTGTCATGGGTAAGATCCATGCCATGGAAATTAGTCAGGCAGTTTTTGTCCTGAACATTCTCACTAATTAGCTTGCATTTTCTAAATGCAATTTCATCATTCTGCAGATGAGTGAGGCTCGTTTCAAAACATGACCCTTGAGACCATCAGATGTGATTTCGGTTCCTTGAGTTCTCGTGACTAGTGTTTTTTCCAATATTTCTTATATTGAACATAGCTGGTGCTTTCACACAGTACCCGTCTGTCTTTCTTAGAAAACAGGTCTGCCTTCTTCTTGGCTTCCTTTTAGCACCATTTGCCCTGCAGGAGGCACTGCCTTTTGCCACTGCTGCTGTTCTCGGTGCTGCTTAGAGAGTCAAAAGGGCACAAAGGAACTTCTTGTCACGAGGTGTCCCTGTGATTCCTCGTAAAAAAAAAAAAAAAAAAAAAAGGATCATTTGGATCCACTCCCAGTCCTGAGTCTTCAGAAGTCTCAACTCCAGAGGCTTGATTTCGACCATTTGTAATGAGTGAGCAAGCAAAGTGGAGCAAAATGCTATCACTTTTTTGTTTTAACTCGAAGAGAAATTACTTTACAAAAAAAATCACAGAAACAACAAAATTTTTTAAATATTTGTTTTTGAAGAAGATACAGAAATGTTCTCTACATGACTGAACCCACTGATCAATGATGGTACATCGGTTCTTTCCAATTAATTCCTGAGTTTAAGAAGCCCCTGAGGCTCTTAGCCCCTAAGGTACCACACACTTGAAATACTCACCCAGGTAGACTCATCAGACCCCGGAGTAACTTTATTGCACCCTCAGTTAATTCAGAGTAGGGACCTACTTACCCAAATATGTAACACAACGAGTGCCTGACGAGGAAGTGGCCCATTTTCAAACGACCACACAAATTCAGATTTGTGCCAATACTGCAGTCTGCCTCTTGGTTTTGTCTCTCACCAGAAAACATGTATGTTGTCCAGACTTGCCAGCTCACTCACTTCTGTTCTTTTTTTTTTTTTCTTTTCCACCTATCGATTCTATTGACTCCACTTTCCCCTGTTCTTAAAGCCCTTGCTGATAAATGGACCTCTTCTGGTCATTCTCTGACGGGCTCATAGGCTGGGGACCTCCGGTTTGCACACACCCTCTGCACCTTTGCTGACCTCCAACATAGCGCGGTGGGCCTGGTCTGACTCGCGTGCTGGCGGACCCTGACGCACAGTGGTTCTGCTTGCATACCTTATTTACTGCTGGTGTAGATAATTACTGGAAAAAGCAGTGACTCCCCTGCGGGCTCACCTGGCCCGCTCCCTGGTACTAGAGATGTGTTGCTGCAGGCTTCGTGAGGGAGTCCATTCAGTCAGTTTAGAGCACCCAGCCCGGCAGCCGCTCCATCCATGGCTTCTAGAGACTGGGATCCCAGGACCACCCACCCGCTCCTCCTCACTGGCAGGGGACTCACTCTCCACAGCCTCTGAGAGACAATCCTTGCCTTCTATCTGACTCACCAGCCCTCTGCCATTTTCAGCAGCTGCCTGTGAGATCCCCCATTGGACGAGGTGCTTCTATAAGTGACCTATGGAATACTGGCACTTGGGTTGCAGAGAAAACAACACTG